GGAATGTTAAAAAGGCAAATTACGTTGAAAGCAGCAGAAATGAAAAACAAACAAACAAAAAAATAAAAAAATAAAAACACAAATTCAATTAAAAAAGTAGAAATTTGTAAAACATTTTGAACATTAATAAAAATAAAACATTTTTCAGTCATGCAGAAATCATTGCCTCAGGTAACAAAACATTATTTTTCAAAGAAAACCCATTTAACAAACTGTAACGTATTCAGAGATATAAACCTTATCAAAATGCCAATTTAAATTTTATAACCGTTGCTATGATTATTCTATAAAAATGAAAATAAGCCTCAATTTTTATTTGCAATATGAATTTCCACTCCAAAATGTTTTTTTTTTCTAAATTTGTTCATACATGTTGGTAAACAGCAACTCTTTTCCATTTAAAGTTCTTTGTGCGTTTTTTTCTATTACTTTTTTTTTAGTTCAGTGGTTAGACCCGAACCATCTGGTAGGGAGGAGATCCATGTATTTATCGCTCCACAGTTCTTCACAAACCTGTTATCTTTCCCCAAGGCTGCTACCGAAGTCTATCATTTGCTCCATCAAACAAGGCGGGTGCAGAGAGTCAGCTCTTGCTTAATGAACATATTAATGGTCTCTGCCGCTGGTTTATCCACACAACATCACCCCACGCGTGCGGCTTAACGACACGGAGACGCTTTGCCCCTTCTAACACGGGGAAAACAGCTCGGTACCTCCTACGGATCTCTTCAAGATAAAGAAAAAGAACGTACAAGCGTTCTTAATCCCAATCATGCGTTTTTAAAAAGAGTATATATTGTTAATAGGCTTTTTATGAGAAGCATGGGTGAAGTCTTTGTGGTTTTCCTTTTCATACCTGCCAGAGATTTACCACCTTATTTTATTGGAGTGCGCGTTTGTTTTAATGTGATGGCTGATTTGATAGTTATGTGAATGTAAGGGCCCGTTTATCAAAGGGTACTCCCTCTTCTACTCGAGTATCCCCCGCCGGGAGCAAGAAAAGGTCTACGAAGGCAGAAAAACACGCTACACTAAAATAATACGAGGCTAGGTAAAATACGCGCGTGAAAAAGTGAATGGAGGGAATGAAAAACCCTCATTAAAATTTCAGTTGAAAAGACATGCCATTCAAAAGCTTTTTTTCTCATTAGATGTCATTAAACACAGCTTGCGTCGTTCCACCCTTTCCCTTGGGTTTCCCGGTGCAATCGACTTAAGTGCCTCACTAGAGGATTAGACGTATTCTATAAACTTCAATAGAGGGACTTATTTTGCTACGAAAACAGCCAGGTGTAAATGAGCTGACAAAGCAGCACAAACTAAATACAATCGTCTTCAAGATAGAGTTGACACGAGCGGCCAGCCACAGCAGCGGGTAGAATAAGAAAAGGAAAAATAGCCGATTGTGTAATGACCAAAACTTCAACCCACGACAATTCGCGTCACAGAGTTTAAAAACACTGGCAAATAGGTACTTGTTTTTGGTTTGAATCGACAGTTTAAGGTTGTATTTGCCAATCGAATCAATAAGAATCTCCATTAGTTTTGCTAGCCCCGGGCCATTGAAAGCGCCCGGCCTCACCCAAGTGCTCTCTGTATTGGCGGAAACGATGTAATGGCAGGGATTTGGTGACATTATAATCCAAAGAATTATTTTGTTGTAATTAAAACGCTTTTCAAATAAAATGTCACATCTGAACAATGGTGAACTGTAATTATTTGCGGTTGATATTTGTACAGACTTTGCCATTACGCGTAATTGCTTGGTATTGAACATTTGTCACATTGTTAATGCCGTGTCATAAATTTACCTAGGGAATCATTTTACTTTGAAACTGTAGCCACAATTTATTGATACAACATTCTACCAGGTATCTATGACATGGCTGGTAGTCTAAGTGCTTTATTTGATCGAGCCGTGTTATTTCACCTCCATTTGTTTCCAATCACTATCTGTAAACTCGTTTATCGGTGGAAGAACAACAATGGATGTCGAAGTTTGGACTGTCACAGAAAGTCGATTCTCTCAAGTGTAAAACCTAACAGCTTAGCGCACGGGATTTTATGCTTCGTGAAAAGACATCTTTCCGCCGGTTGAGTCAGTTTTCATGTTTTTGTTGTGAAGTGCACTGACAGAAAAGTCCCGCATAATACCCCCATTATATTTGTCGTTTCCGTTCTGAATGCTGGAGTTCAATCAGGCGCATCAAATTGCGATCATTTTTTGTCTCTGAGCCGGACACTAAACTGTCTTCTGGTAACAAGCTCTCAGTTAAACGGCTGACTTCCTGAGTTTTAAATAAAGATAGGTGTACTTATCGTTTTTAATGTGTGGTCTAAAATACACTTTGTGATTTTTGCACGTGTGACTAATAGTTGTGTTGAATGCATTTAAATATTGTTTTACCACTTGTGATAGATAAAAGTTATATTGTTCAATGCAAAGCTGAGTAAGCTATCTTAACCGCCGTTTTGCATTGAAATTCAAGTAGTAGTTTGGGTATTGATTAGAAAGAAAGAAAGAAAGAAAGAAAGAAAGAAAGAAAGAGAGGGAGGGAGAAATAAAAAAGGTGCTTAAGTTTTTTTCAAAAGCCTCCACAAAAAGACCGTGGGAAATTTGTCATCAAAATGTTAAAATACAAAACTAAATGCCAACACATTTTTCTTTATGCCTGTGTATATTTCTCTAGGCTCTCCTTCATGCAAACTTTGTCGACCTGCCGCGGAGATTGATGAGTGGCTTGTCCTTCTTTCTCTGACCCGTAACAATATAACCTCGGTGACCAGTTTTTCTTTGGCAGCCGATGACCCTGGAGTTCATGGCAGAAATCCCGGATATTTCAAAAGGGGGAAATCATGAAAGGAAACGTTATTATGTAATATAAATTGAGAGGACGCCTTTACTTGTGTCAATGAGTGCCTTTTCTTTGCAAATTTGTCTTTTTAATTTTGCTTTCATTTTCTTTTGTGTTTTATAAATGCTATAGAAACCTTTTTACAACAATGTTGATTGAATTTCGATGTAATCACATATATTGACAGGACATGCCAAAAATCACCTTGAGCAATTTTATTTTTGCAGAAAATCAGCAAACATACCCAACTGCTGTTTGACATCATATTTCATACATTATGGGTATTCTATTAGGTGCTTCAAACTAAGCGAAGACACTTGGATTTAATCTGAAATTGAAAAGATGATCACAGCCTTATTGAATTAATGCGGGATTGGTTCTTCAGTGGTTTTCTTAACAATAGTACTTATTCAATTAAATGCCGCTAATTTGATGTCAGAATTATCGGAACATTTGGCAAAGGTTTTTGAAATATTTACACCAAATGTTACAATTGTTATCGTTGATCCGCTTCGTGTGTAAGAGGACCCGATTGCGTCATGCCGCCGGAGTTCGAGCACTTGATTAAGACTGATTAAATCTGTAACACGACGATGGCTTTTTTGTTTGCGAGTTGCAAAACAAAGGAGATGGATTCGAGAGGAAACAATGCCTTTAGTTTGTTTTTGTGTTTTGCACTGACGTTTTTGTGGAGTTTTTTTTCTTTCATAGATTTATTCTACGGCAGCAAGGAATGACAGTTTAAGTGAAGTATTACCAATAGCCAAAACATTCAAGTTTATGTGGTATGGAAAACGAAACAAACAAACGTTGAAATCTACACAGAAGCCATTTGGTGCGAAAAAACAAGAAAAGTAAATAATTAGTCACAAGGAAATGAAAAAGAATTATTATGCAATTTATTTTGACTAACGTGAACTCGATGATGGATTCTGTGCTGTCTGCATGCCGCGGTTCAGCCCCCACCACACAGAAAGCACGCGCAGGAATTTACGCGCGATGAGCGAGAAGGAATTTTGCTGGTCCGTTTCAAACGTTACAAAAACACAAGAGGGGCTTATGTATACTTAACGGACGGATAGGAAATAAAGTCCAAAATACAGACTTAAACGGCTCGTTGAATTTTCTGCGGTGCAATAAAGCAAGTCCACATAGCGCGCCCTCTTTTGACAAAAAGTAGCACTACTTGAGCATTGCTCCAACCGTTCAATGCAATACGAGATATGCATACACCAAGGAAAGACCATTTCTCCAAAACTTGGACGAATACAAGGTTTAAGTCTCAAAAGAGAAAATAGTTTTTATTCATTGTAATCATTCGTAAAGACAAAAATTAAGAAGACTTGCAAAATACGATTCTTTTATTGTTAAAAATTAGTTATGACAGCCTTCACGAGGAGACTACTATCTTAATATTCCACGGTTGCATTTTTAAAGAAAAAAAAACGATAAAAACCATCACCACGCATGAGAAATTGTGATCATTCCACTATTGAAAATAACAACGAATATTGATGATATTGTGCACTTTGACATGTCTAAGAAACAATATCATTAGCAGAAGAAAATTTGTAAGTTTACGTACCATATTTGATTTTAGATATCACGACAAATGAAAATGAATGCACGAAAAGCGGTAACTGTAGTGAGGTTGAAGTGAAGAAAAGCCAGGAGGTGAGAGAAAAAGGAAGGAGTGAGAAAAACTGGCGGCGGGAGTCTAAGGAGGCCGCCAGTGACTTTTCATAAAATTGACCTTTTCTTCTTTTAACATTTCCATTATTAAACATTTTAACACGAGGTGCATGTATTGAATATCAACACAGTTGCTTTTCGTGTTTTTGATCAATTATGCATTTTCTAAAGCCCTTAACTATACCTCAATGCATTGTTGAATACACAGAAGGGTGTAACACGAAGCCACAGTTAGACTGTTTATGGGCAATAAGAGGCAGGTAAAACGCAAATCCCTATCTTAAAAGCGTAACCCCAGTGTGCAAATATCATTAGAATTCAAAATCGAAGATCCTGTGTGCGGGTTAAACGTATCATATTTACCAACAAAAAGTCTCAACATATCTGCTATTTACACAAGGGCGCAGTTATATCAGATAGAGTTTCGCCCTCTCACACTCCGGATCCGCTTGTTGCTAAGGGCGCTCACAGCCGCCATTGTGCCGGCTGTTGATTTTTCCCTTTGAACGAGGTGTTTTCAGATCGATGCTGATTATATGGGCTTCGTTTGCTGGAACAATGTTAAATAATTTAACGTGAAATCAAGTTAAATAATTTCAAAGGACTAGGATCAACAACCCAAACAACCTGCCTTGTTACGCTGTTATTCAAGCACACCGTGGAAATGACATTGCCTAGTAAAGCGGGGGACGGGGTCACAGTCTTAGCCAGTGAGTTTGTCAACCAAACAAACACTAAGCTGTCGTGGTGAGAATATGAGAACTGGCAAACGTTTAGTTTCATGGAGTTTCCTGGAAAGTGCGTGAGCGTAACAAGGAGGAGATAAACTTCTAAAGAGACAGACAGTGACACACTGAAGTAAGTTTGAAACTGTAGAGGGTACCAGCATGATATAACGCACACCATGTTCCAGGTCACGTACAGATGTCTGTAAGTGAAACATTCACTGTTATGAGCTGGCCTGATATTTGTTAGTCAGACAGAGATAAGAATATCAGCGGTAAGAATATCAGTGCTGCCTCAGATTTGTCACACAGAGGCCAACTGATAGACAAGAAAAGGAAAAACTGAACTTTTTGAAATTAAAGATGGACATCATTGGAATGTCTAGTAACCTGTCCATTCGGTCACCAAAGAGACCGGTCAAAACGGCTCTACACCAGGCCATCGTGGACGGGCGCCTTCACCAGGTTCGTCTCTTGGTCTCAGTCCACAAGTGTAACGTCGATTCACGGGACATGAACGGAAGGACCCCCATGATGATATCCTGTATTTTAGATAACGAAGAGGTGGGTTTGAAAATGGCAAAAATCTGCCTCAAGGCGGGGGCGTTCTTGAATGCGAAAGACATATTCGGTCGGTCTGCTCTCAGTTATGCTTGTATGAAGGGAAAGCATGAAATTGTGAGGAGGATCCTCAGGGAAGACATCATGGGAGTAAACGACAAGGACAATGACGGCAACACGCCGTTGATCCACGCAGCCACCAGTGGCAAACCCGCTGTTGTTAAATTAGTGGTGGATATACTGAACCGCTACGGACTTCCTATTGATATAAGGAATAATCTGGGTTACACAGCCCTCCTCCTTGCTGCTAAGCACGGACATTATGTGTCAGCACACATTTTGCTCAAGGAAGGCGGTGCAGCGTCAAAACTACGTGACAATGAGTATTTTCTCAACGCCTCTGAGTGGGCTAGAAGAAGTTATGAATTAAGAGCGAGTGCTATCAAGTTACACGCTCAGAAGAACCAAATTCTTCACCGTCCCCACACTCAACCGTCCTCTTCATCCCCTCGTGGTGACACACGACTGCCGAGAGAGCACGACATGTACCGAAGAAATTACACCCCGATTTGCCGACATGTAAAAGCCGTCCACGATCTCTCCAGTTTCTACGACAGCTCCATCAGACTTCCAACCATATTTGCCGGTAACTATGGTGATCAGAGCGAGTCGCGAGAGGAGGCCCTGTTGGACGGGCAGGACGCCCGCAAGGTTTTCTTGGACACGGTAGAAGTGCTTGAGCAGCAGCGGCAAACTAATGTGATTGGATCCAGTAATGAGTCTTCCCAGGCCTCTGAAGCTTCCAATGCCAGTCACAGGCCCGTGTCCACGCGCACGGCGTTCACGACATTTACGCGAGGGGCGACTCGTCAAGGCAACCCCCACCCGTCCACCGCTAAACTTCTGGCGTTCACCAAGCGAAGTCACACACAAATGCGACCAGATCTTTCGACTTTGTTCAAACTGTATTCTGATCAGTATTACTTTTCGCTACCTCAACCGGAGGAAGAACAACAGGGTGAGATTGTTTTCAGGGACCCTGGGATTTCAATAGAAATTGCCGCCCCCGGGGAGTTCACTCCAGCAGTGACACCCCGGGGAAGCATGGTAGTCACCAAGTCATGACTGTCACGAGGGACCCCCATGCGACCAATTTGTGCCACCATCAAGACAGAAAACCTATAACTGTGATGACTGACCCAATCAAACCCAATCAAAACTAGCCTAGACGATGAATTTTCTATTAAATCAAAAAGAGCTTATTCCAATCAAAATACACATACTTGTGATTCAATACCGATTCTCTTTTAGAAAAATTAATCGCTGTTTTTATGCTCACACAAAGCAGGGTAATTATATAATATTTCTCATACTGTCAATGTCCAGAAAAAGCCTGAGTCACGTCCTTGCACAGGACGTACATGTATATCACACCCCTCCATCTGTCACAGGGGGCTGTTCCTAATTTTAGACTAGTGAGGTCATCGCAGATAAAGTTTTGAATTTTTAGATAGAAGATTGAATGTTGGTACTCTGTCTGATTCGAAAAATATCCCAGATATGGGCAATAAATTTATTTACGCTAATCTTTTTGCTGGCGGTTTATTTTTCTTTTTATGTTACAAATGGTACATTCCCCTGGTAAACCATAGTTGCATCAAAGTGTATATTTGTCGCTACCCTTTTTACAGCCCTCGGGTCAAATGTTTAAAAGGATTTTAAATATTACAGCATTTTTCTCACGGAATTGCAATTAAGTAATACCATGCAGTAGAAACGCCAAATCGGGCTTTGTTCCAAAACTGAAATGGTGAAGAAAGTCCAACGTTATGTTTTGAAATTAACGAGCATTGTTTCCAGACAATAGATTGCATTGTGCATGAACGTGCAACTCGGAGTCGTTTAAAATACAAATATTTTCTTTATACCAAAATCGGTGCTAAGATAATATTAAACTATCCTTTTCGCACTGGGTCACAATGCCTGCAAAGAACTAAGATTTCAATGTCAGGTAAGGCCGAAGGGTATTTTATGTTATTTTGCCCTTTGGCATTCTCTAACATTGTGGCTTTTCTTTCGAATAACCAGAAATACAGCTTCAGCCTGAGGCACCAACTATTGGTTTCAGTCAATGACCAAAACATTCAGCATTTCGTAAATGTTCAGTTTACTTGGGGTTAGTTAATATAAGTCGTTTCAGATCCAATTTCAAAAGTTGGTTTTGACAGGTGAAACAGAAAAGACGCTGTATCAGGTGACATATGTATGGATTACGGCGAAAGTTGGATTAATAGAGAAATAGTTTGTAACTAAGGACAAGTTTAATTCTAAATTCATAAACTTCTCAGGTTATATCTTGAAGCGTCTGCCTTTTTACACAGCACCGACTTTTTCTAAAGAGCTTTGATATAGATAAATTAACTGGTACTGATAATCTTCATCATTTATTTTGTAACTGTTCACTGCGGTAAGATGAAATTCGCACACAATGAAACTGAATTTCCATCTTCCTCGAAAATATTCGATTGCTCGAGAAGATCATGATCCCAGAAAATAGGCCCTATCACAGCAGAACCCAAATACAAAGTTTGTAATGGTTTGTCATCATTAATGGTTTGTTATAACCAACGGGAGACCTTTCAAACCTTACTCGTATAGCAAGAGCGCCATATTGTATCCTGCAAAAATCAATTACAAATATAATCACGCATTCAAATCTTGATGGAATGAATGCTTCAGCAGGCTTCTAGTTATCCAAAATATGAATTTGAGTAACATATTCTTTATTTGAATTGAGTGTATGGATTGAATTTAGTCAATGACAGAGCAAGACGAGCGCTGTCACAAGCTTTTGACAAAATTGAAAGGAACGTACACGTAATTAGGAAAATTGTGTAGATTAAATGCATATGTAATTGCTGAGTGAAAATGCATAGGCCAACGGTCAAAATGGTATCAATTTATGATTCTTCATAATTGCAAAATTGATGATGGAAATAATAAATCAATACCATCTTACGTATTACTAAATGTGTCCCTTGGCAGTTATAATTAATCAAATGCCCTCTCAAGCCCATACTGTTACAATATAATCTTAAAAAGCAACTCATATCTCAACCCAATCATAAACCCTACTAAATTTGTCGGCTAAATGCGGCTAATTGAATCACTCATGGATTTGATTGTGCGAAACCTTGAATCTATTGGGTTATTCATTTGGCTGATGGATGCAAGGTGAAACCCAGCATCGAGCTTTGGTTGACTCTCGGCCTGCATCTACTCTCTGACCACAGGGTGCGCCAGTAGTCTGTTACAAAATTATTGCATCGCTGATACTTTAATTTTACACGCAAACTATTGTAGAAGACCCTGATATCAGAGACACTATTTTAGAAGCCCCCGATATCACAGGCTAGCCTGCATCTGTAGGGGGGGGGGGGAACTTATGTCTTTACAGAAGTTCAGCAGTTCACCTTGCCCCAGTGGGCATTATCAGTATTACAATGAACTGATTGCGTAACGCATACTCACTTATTCAACCATTAAATGAAAAAGGATATCGATGAATAGCATAATTGATCTTTTTGATATTTTGCATTTTCTCGTTTTAACAGTACCCCGTTGCTGTATCGTAGCACAACGATAACCTGCTTTTAATTTTCTCACGGCACAGGTGATCATTTTGTGTTATGCTAATCGCGCATAATCAAAATGTTTTTTAAAACGGAAAATAATAACTGTGGGAATAAATTACTAACAGTTGGTAATTTTCTATGGCTTTTAGCCTTAAATCAAAATGTTTTTAAAAGTAGAAATGATATTAGTCATGCACTGATCATAAATGTTTTATCGTGGCAAATGGAGATGTTATTTAAAAGCTGTATACAATTCTAACATTACCGGAACTGAACATGTATTCATTTCACCATCCGTTCCTTAGTAATATGTCGCAATATGCATATCGTCCCGGCAAATTGAAGTAGTAATTAGACATACATTTTACGCTGCGTGGGTTTTGTTTACGGTAAAACCTGGCTGGCAGGTGTGCCTTTGTATCATTACAATTCAAAATAATCCGGCTAAAAAAGCATTGTAAGACGCGAATAATGCGGGAACAATCGTGCAATTCAGTGTAGTTTGGAGTAGCCTTAAGTCGTGTCTAAAACGCGCCAGGACTCTACTGACGATCATTAAAATCTCAACAAGTCCTGAATCTCGATGAAGATGGCATTTAGCTTCTACAATCTACAATAACCCGCTTAACCTTCTAACCCCACAGCTGTGCCGTGCCTGTGACAACCTCGCCCTGCCACACCGTGAAATATTCTAAAATAACATTATTGTTACACGACTACCTGGAACACCTCTACAAACGACTTCACGCAGTTTACTCAAACGCAGTGACAGAAAGTTCTCCCCCTCTCAAATAAAACCGCCGAACACTTGAGATCGTAAAGGTGTGATAAACCCACAGAAGGGTCCATCTGGTATTGATGAGTCACAAAGAAGCTTACATCTCTTCACTTTCAGGTATTGAAATAAGCACCAGGGAAACTAATATTCCATTCATAGAACTGTGCATAATGTTTACTTTCATATTTTTTTATTTTGAATTGAGAATTCACCAGCCCTGTGCTTGGCAAATATGACTGCATAGTGCTTTTAGTTCTAAACTGTCTGAGATACGCCACCATGAAGAAAAATAGAAAGGCAAAATTACTAGGATTTTGAAAAAAAACTATACTGTGTATTTTCTTGTAAGAGAGATTGATAAGAAATCTCCAGTAAATATAAGTCAATAAATATTGCCAAGCTCAGCGAGTGTTATAGAAATAAAACAAAATCGATGTTGTGTATCGATTCTATTTCCAAGGAAATCAAGTAAATATGAGCACTCAGTCTTCGGACGACTGACATATACATGTAAACGTTGGGAATCGACACATAATTCTGCTTATCCAGGATTGTGCTTGAGGTTTATGCTCGGTCTCAACTGATACATTGCCGGAGTACCTGCTCTTCATATCAGTGTTACGCTGATGCGGCCAAATGCTGCAAACAGACTTCATCTTGGGTCTGTTAAGTAAGATAACTCCAATGGCTTAAAAGCTTGCCTAATCAAGTGTTACGTGTGTGTAACCTAGAATTCCAGTTAAAATAACCATCTCAAAAAAAAAAAAAAAAAAAAAAAAAAAAAAAAAAAAAAAAAAAAAAAAAAAAAAAAAAAAAAAAGGAAGAGCAAACTATCGATATGCATTTCCCGCCTTTCAAAGAGAGAAGTATTGAAATAAAAAACAACAGCAGCAACCAACTACATGTATCTTAAGATTAGAATTCGCCAAATACACTATAGGTCATGGTACAGTGTACCTATCTCAAGTAACACCTATACGTTAAAGTAATTAATCTGACTCTGTGACGGTTGGTGATCAGAGCGACTCGAGAGAGGAGGCCCTGTTGGACGGGCAGGACGCCTGCAAGGTTTTCTTGGACACGGTGGAATGCTTGGGCAGCAGCGGGGTTTGGATAAAACGAAGATAGATAAAACAAAATACTTTTTCAATTTAAGCAATATTGAGATAAAACTTGACACACTGGCACACATACATACATGATTCATCGAGGAAATTACACAAAGGAACACTTGTAAGAAGCATTGACTCCTCCCCAGGACAGAAACCTTACATCCTCAACGGAGTTCAAGCTTGATCCCTTCCAGCATAAATCATTGTTGATAATATGTTTGGGAATGAAGAGTTAGTAAATTGATAATTACAGGAACATACAAGGTAGATACAAATTTTCGAGATCTTTTTTCCAGACAATCCGAAGGTACGTGTAGGGCGTATCAGCAAAACGACTCAACTTACAAACCACAGAACAAGATCCAGGGTCATGTGACAGAGCGGTTGAAAACCAGTGTAACAGGAATGGAAGCACTCTAGGAACCGTGCATGTAGTCTGTTCCCAATTGCTTTGCACAGGTAACTTTCGTCTCACATACTAACCACAATACTCCGACTAACCCTTACCTGTACCAATCATATGGGACCCCGGACTTTTATTCCTAGGACTACCATTCCTGTCACACCAGGCGACGTATACACTGATTGATGTCTGGTGTATGCTATTGTTTAGCGAGCTCTGAGGGATGTTCAAGGCTATGATATACTGTGTTTGTCTCCAGTGACTTGTTGTCAAGTTGGGGGATAGCTGGACCTAGAGTGGGCAGAAAGGGAGAATATCGTCCACTCCTTCCCCCTACCTACAAGCGTTTCTGTAGGCGGATGTGTCGTGCCAAACGAAGCAAAAAAGAAAAAAACATAACGATTTGATAAATTGCCAAATGGCAATGATGTTTTTTTTTTCATCACAGTGATCTGATCTATCATAGCAATAAATTTAATGAAAAAAAGATGTAACAACCTGCAAGTTGTTCCCAGTTGAGTGACATTAAATCTCAATTACCATTTTAATCGACATCCAATTGTTGAGATTGAGGACTTATAAGTATTAATACATTAACTGCTTTGTGTTAACAAGCGAGTCGTGCACGATCATGACAAATGCAAATAGCTGCTTGGAA